GTAACTTATGTTCTCGATAGACAACTAATGTTCATTCATTTCATTGGTACGCAGCAACCGTCGTTTCCTACATTTTCAGCGACAATCTAAACCGAACTTCCGCAATTTTTGTTTCACGATGATCCCTACTTTAATGTTTATACACAAATCGAGTTTTCGACGCCGCATTACCAGCCGATTAGTAATGATTATGTTCATATTATCTATTCATTCACATGTATAACTGAATGCTGCATCATCCATTACCGATAATCACAATTCGATTACTACGATTAATATTCTATTCTCAATGCACTGTACGCCAGAACATAGAGTTTAGAGCTAGTCTCTCAAGGATACACTCTTGTCCGTCACATCCAAGTCAGCCTCACTCGCCGCCATCGATAATCATATGTATTGGTATTTTTGTTATGCCTTAATACGGTTTCGTAACAAACGAGATTGAGCGCATATCCCTCTAACTACACAAACCACGATAGGCTTCATGACCAAAAAGGAATACGACTCCGCATATCTCGTCTCAGCAGTCACTATCCTGTTCCTTTGGTCATTCTACTAATACATATTTAACGATAACTCGACGCAAACGGTAACATACGCTGACTTCGCATTTTATTATCATTATCAGTAGCAGTACAGCAATGAATATCAACCGCTGATGCAGTCATCATCCTACGGCTGGATTATTTTTTATCCCACGTAAACTCCAATCGTGTAAATTCGAATCCACTCATCGCCAATCGACTCTATTTACTCGACTGCAGCTTATCAGAACATATTTCACTGTTATTTATCCTCATATTCAATCAGCACCACAGAGCAATTACTGTTTAAACTCTATTTTCACTATATTTCAAATCGCTCATACGAACATGTTATTTTATCATTCGGACAGTCACTACATAAATTCATGTTAAATTTTTTCGAACGCTTACTAATGTACTCATAATCACATGCTAGCATCCCTATTTTTGTCCGCACTTTGACAATATCCATGTTCCTTTTTACATAAGTATGACACTTTCGCTTAATACGCTCACCCCTCACATGACACTGTAATTCATCAGGTATTGTACCATTTTTTCCCACATTTTGACGTTATCCTCATACCGCTTCAGTGTTATTTTTCGAAAACAGACATTTTTTTATAAATGTGCTATTTTCTACAAGGGGGCTATGTAGTACCAGTTCATATGTTAGGCCCATATACTTTATTCTAGTTACTGGCCAAGCCAATTCACCTGTACATTGAGTCATCTTTTGATCTTGTTAATCATTTGCTTATTAACCTTGAGTACTTTTTATATGAGCGCATATGTGTACACTTCGTATCTTATTCATCATATGTCTGTCACTCATTTTTGTCTGCCTATAAATGTTAGTTAACGCTTGCTTAAAATGAGTTGGCTTCCCAGCCATCTCCAATACGCATCATCTTTGCTTCGCTTGCTTACAGTTGCTCATGTGCTTACAACTTTCTGGTCTGCATCGATTATCAATAAAAATGTAGTTGCCGATTCCCTTTGCCTTCTGATATTATACACCGTTAAGATTGGTATTAATAACGGTTATCGAAGCGAACTATGACCGAAGCACGGCGCTACAAGTTAATATTCTAAAGCTTTCACTATTGTATACATTAATTTTAACAAATTATGATGAGAGCCTCATTTAAAACTGACTACAGTACTTCTCTAATGCTTATTATGCACAAAACAATGTGAAATGTTGTACTGTGAGCACCATAAATCCAGAAACTTAACATCATAAATCTAAAATTATCTTACAATTATAGGATACTGAAATCAGTGTTACAGCTAACTGGCATATATCTTCTAGTCAGAAGGCATACAGAGAATAAGAACTAGACAAAATAATTAGTTTGACAGTTACAAGTATTTGATATTGTATATCTTTATACACTGAAAGTTAAATCATGTAGACAGTATAAGCTTTGGATTTTCCGAATCACTTCACCATTAGCTCAGTAATATTGTATTATATTTTCCGAACAATCATTAAATAATTTTAAATTTGCTGTTAAAATATGACAATTTGTTAACTGTAAGTTCATCAGTCAGCTTAGTGTCTACTTCACTGAATTGTTTAATCTAGAGGTTAAGCGCTCGCACGCGAGACTAATAGGTCCAGGGTTCGTATCTCGCGAGGCGGGAACGTGGGTGCGCACTGCTGAGGAGTCCCACAATAGGACGAAATGGCCGTCAAGCAGTACTTCCAGGTTTTCCTTGGTGGTCTAGCTCCAATTGACTAATGATTTCAACTATAATTTTAATTTATTATATATTGTGATGCGATAACACTAACACATGAATGATTATACCATACATAGTTATAATTATTATTATATGAATTGGTTGCAATAATATAAAAGTGTACAAGGCTAAATTCATTACTTAACAACCATGTGAACTTCGGTCAATGAAAGAATAGGCATGTATATTTATATTGTAAACTATAATTAATTTATAACAAGAAATGTAAAAAGTAGATATGTGATGAGTTGAACACTTTTCAGACAATATCCATAATTCATTACATCTTTTAATTTATAATAACCAACGTAGAATGTTAACATAAACATTCAGTAACTTAACAAAAAGGCAAGTTATTTGGTTTACATTTAATGATCAAGGTGTACTATTTACATACATTAGTATTACGATATTGTTGTAAATTGGTCACACCACTTTTTTTATATCTTTATTACATAATTCTTTAATTTAGTCTAAGACGTTACTAAGGATGAAATGCATAATAGAATACCATGGGTTTTTTTAGAGATTTATTCATACACATTCATACCACACAATCGATTGTAAATAAAAAGACATTAGGGATGACTTTTACGACTTTTCCAAGGGTTATGCTATAACTTCATAATATCTTCACACAAAAAGAAAAAAAACAATTCACGTTATTATCAATTTGAGTTCATAAAGTAGGATTTAACTTACTCAACAATCAGCAACTGATAGATTTTTTATTTTTCATTTCGATATAGCGCTTATTATACTCGTTTGCACCGTAGTTGTCAGGGGCACATTAAGATTAGAATTATGTTAACGATATAGGACGATCATTTCTTAGCCACCAATATCAATGGAGTAGTTTTGTTGTTTGCATTCAATGAGTGAGAGTAACCTTTATTTAATAACTAATATCCGTTCAGGAATTCAAAATGGAATCAATAGATACTACTTCCAGAAAGGTAGCTATTGTTTGTTACACAATCCTATAGTGAACTTCAACGGTCACAGTTAAGCAGTAAACAATAATATTCATGAATTTCTACTAACTGATCAGAGGTGTCAATTTTTTCTCAATATTACATGCGACTAATATGCTCTTGAATAATTATAAAGCGTCGAAAAGTTATAAATGTTTAGCGGAAAGCCCTGTTTTGTTAAATGCTTTATAAATATCAAATATTGACGGACCTCTGCAGTCTAAGATAACTTGATTATGCACAAACAAACAAAAAGAATGTGTAGATATTCGAAACATAAATCACATTTGACAATGAAGAAAGTTCTCTAGCTATGCTAATGTTGTTAACAGGTGTCATAAGTAAGAGAATAGATGATGAGATATAAAATAAAAGTTTTCAACAAGATCGTTATCAAAAATCTCGGCATTCAACAAGATCTATCCATTTAACAAGATTCAATGGTTGTAGAAGATATACTGTTTAATTTACAGTAATAACTCGTATTATTCAAAAAAAACCCATTCCAAATAAGTCGAGAACGTCTTACGATATACCGACTCAATTTGTAGGATGAAATTAATGCAATATAGATATCAATATGGAAAGGGATTTATGGTACTAGTTAGGTTTTACGTAAACTTCAAAAACAAAGTATCGAAATATCGACTAACTATTATTTGTAGCAGTAAATTATATTGTAAAGTTATAAAGTTGGAACAAGGTATTTTTAATCGTGAACCGATTATGATTGTTTGTACTTAAATGGTATTTGAATTAGGTAGGGATAAAATTACAACAAAATATGCCATTTCAGTATGTAATTCATTATTGGATGTTGTGAATTTGTGAATTTTAGTAACTAAACTGTCTTTTTATAAGTATCAATAACAAGGTTGAACTTCATAGTTTCAAATAAATTGAGCATTGGGTAAAGAGTTAATAATAAATATTTTTCTTTATATCCCAATGGGTAGAAATATCGTATTTCTGACGTTTCATGACTTAATGTAAGCCACTTCTTCAGAGTAAATAAGTAACCGGAATTAAATTAATACAAATTTTAATAGTACGAAGGAAACTAACTTTAACTTAACTGCTGACGCTCTAATTGCAAATACTATGTAAAGATTTCAAAGACAAGATAAAACGTCACCATTTTAATCTAATATAGATTTTTAATTTTATGAATACCAAAAAACGTAAACGATTGTTGTTCCATATAATCGATTGGTTTTTAATGAAACAACACTTTAGATAAGTGCTTAAGACTTGGTCATGTGATGGATAAGTTTCTTGATGCTTCCCTTTGCCTAGCATGTCAAAATTTCGTTGCCAAGCAAACGCTTTTCAAAGCTATATACAAATAGATATGATAAATGCTTTCATACAATGACAAAATCATTAGTAAAAACAAAATTTGTTTTTTGTTTGTTATAGGTGTACTATTTCAATTTATTATCTGTAATATTCAGGAAATCTGTTGCCGGGCATAAAGATGGTTACTATTACTTAGTCAGTTACCTACCCAAAACAGTTAAAATGACTTAACAATTACAAACGAAATACAAAATATAATAAGAAGCTACTGACTCTATTTTACACATTTGAAATGTAAGCATAAATTTCCTTCTTTTAAGTTTATCATAGGAAGTTATTTTGAATAAAATAATGAAACTAATTAAATCCATACTACTGAATTCATCAATAGAAATTAACCACTATCTTTCATAAATATCAACATCGGTCAATTTACATAATACCATGTACTTACCTGTTTAACCAGTATGGAAACCGATGATAATCTCAGAGCATTATATCATTTTGAGTATGATATTTTGTCAACACATTGAATTAAGTAAAACTGTAGTCTTTTAACATGATAAAATTAACATTATAATATATAATAAGTCTGATAATTAAATTTAAAATGATTCATTTAAAGATGACAAAACTTTTAACCATTCAAGTATCAGATCTGTAATGTGATTGGCTAATAACATATTAACCAATCAGAATTTAACAATAAATATTTTGTGGAATAAATTACTATAAGTTACTATTTACTTTTATTATTTCCTGATTTAATTTAAATTTGTTTATTTTTTTAAATAACTTCTTTTTGTTTATTTCTTACTTTAATTGACGTAAACTATTATTATTCATTATAATACTTAAATAAGTATTCTATGAAAGAGGAATTTATGTATTAACTTACTTATAATGGGTAATCAGATTTAGATTAAGAGAAAAACAAGAAAAAAATAATAGAAATCTAACTTGGCAATAACATTAAGCAAAGTATTAACATTAAATAATTTTCCAGAAAACTTTGCTTTTAAATAGATCTAATGAATTTTATAGATGATATCATGAGTCAATTGAAGTTAGATCACCATGGAAAACCTGGAAGCACTGGACGGCCATTTCGTCCTATTGTGGGAATCCTGAGCAGTGCGCAGCCAGGATCTGGCCTCGAATTGCGGACCTACCAGTCTCGCGCCAGTGCACTCAACGAAATCCCCTTCTGATAAAGAACATAAAATGAATGTTTGCCCTAGAAAACTTTCATTGTTATTGTAAATCGAAGGATCATAACTAATAATCGTTAAAGTTTGAGATAAATGCAGGTGAACGAATTAGTTACATAATAATAGATTGACTATTTTTTACAAATGGAATTCCAAAACTCTACAAATGAAATCAAAATATCAGCAAAATCATCATATCAGCAAAAACTGAACATTTGAAAAATTCCCATATTGTGATTTAGAACAACATATCTAAGCGAACAATATTGTTTTCCATTAGATCTTCATCAGGCTTTACTCTAATATACAGTAATATTTATGTGAATATACGAAATTATTAAACCAATCAAGTCAGTTTATGCGTCAATTATAACAGTTGAATAGATTACACAACTAAAAATAATAAGTGAAAAGTACAAATTGGTAGTGTGATGACAGATGTACTAGTTGTGATAAGAATAATAAAAGGCTTGAATCAATGTTACATAATAGGAAAATAGGTCAATGATTAGAAAATATAGACACTGAAATAACAATCATAGAAATTATAAGATTACGTAATAATAAGTGTTTAGATAATTGGAAGCGAATATTAGAAAAATTATAAGTAAATAATTGATAGGGGGGGTGAAGAAAAATAAACGAAGAAAGAGTATGGAAAATAAGATTATTTATTAAGGCCAAGAAAAAGATAAGGGTGTTACAAATTTCTTATGAACACAAAGGCTTGGATTGTTGGCTTGAGTTCCTATAGCTTCTGCTATGTGTAAAAGACATGATTGAACCCCATAAGGAAAACTAGTAGGAATACAGTAAATAACTTTAAGTGACTTATTTCTGTCAACTATATGACCGCTATCGATCAAGTGTGAAAGAACCGAGCTCAGTATTGTCTTAACTGCCTTGATTGGTTTAATAATTTCGCATATGCATATAAATATAACTGTATATTAGAGTAAAGCCTGATGAGGATCTAATCGAAAACAATATTGTTCGCTTATATATGTCGTTCTAAAAATTGAATAACTTGTTAGAGCTGGAATTAGTTAATTCCCAATTAGATCCTTATTAATAATTTTTAAAAACTTATTTTAAGTTCATTTCATTCAATATGTTAAATGCAATTCATTCTCAAAATTCCTTAATAAAATAAATTCTGATTTACTAAACTATTTCGTTTTCTGTATATACGGTAGATGAATGTCCTAGCACACAGTACAAATATCATAGATACAATAAGGTTATGCATAATTTTAGTGTTTTAATGAACAATAAATTATGAAATTGAAAAAAGAATTTGGGGATTTGTGGAGATTTCAGTATATTTCAAAGTTGAAAACATCAGTCAATTGAAGCTAGACCACCATCAAAAACCTGGAAGCACTGGACGGCCGTTTCGTCCTATTATGGGACTCCTCAGCAGTGCGCATCCACGAACCCGCTCTCGCGAGCGAGATTCGAACCCAGGACCTGCCAGTTACGAGCCAGAGCCCTTAACCGATAGACCACTGAGATGGCATCCAACAGTGTTAATGTCTAACTTCAACTGATCCACGAATTATGAGCGACACTTCACCAATTGCCTTCAGTGAGTTGTTATCTCACAACAGACGCGGTTAAGGGCACTGTCTCGTAACTGGTAGGTCCTGGGTTCGAATCTCGCTCGCGAGAGCGGGTTCGTGGATGCGCACTGCTGAGGAGTCCCATAATAGGACGAAACGGCCGTCCAGTGCTTCCAGGTTTTCGATGGTGGTCTAGCTTCAATTGACTCATGATTTCAACTTTGAATTTTAAATTATTTAAAACAAGTACAACAGAATTTAGCTTATAATAATTGAAACATTGAAAAAATACTGTACAATAATATAACCTGTTTTCCAAAGAAAACATTCTTAAATATTCTTATTATCATACACTCCCCTAATACGTCATACACACATATCTTCACTGTTCCATTTCTTTAGTATAAAGATATGATAAAATTAGTTTTCTTATCAGTTCATTTTTATTGTTACTTGTATCTGTAACATTATCATAATTAGTACTGGAGAACATTTATTAATTATCTAACAATCTCTATAGATTTAATCAGAAGTTATGTAATGAAATGATATAATACATGATGTGATAATGGATTTTAAAGATCCCTTTCTCTGAAATAACAGTAAGTTTGGTTAGCAACACACTGAAGTATTGAATGTAAGATCTAGTTTGCATTTTCTAATTTGATTATTTCGTATTTAGTTTATTGTCTAACAAGTCTATTTACAGCTTTATTCACTTCATTTCTGGAAAACAATGAAATTCCATTGAACTATCTCTTTGCATATTTTGTCGTATATTTCTTCCATTTTTTGCTGTACATCTTAATAAAAACATCCAAATTTTTATGACTTTAATTGTGAATAATTTTTTCTTAATTGTGGAATGTTTGAAGAGAAAAATACGTTCAACAAATTAGTGACTGAACTAGAACAAAAAATGACGTCATTGTTTTCTCTAGAATTTTCCAGACTTTTTTGTTGCCAGTCGTTTAATGAAACTGTTTTTTTTTAACTGCTATGATTCGTTTCCAGGTATTATCTGTTATGGTCTTTTTCATTTTGTATAATTTTTATTGCAGTGAGGGTAACAGTTATCAGTGATTTACTTCGAATTTATTTGTCAATCTTGGAAGCATGTCTTTCTATCTACTCGTTCTTGTTATATATATCCTATTTGATAGTAATTAGCTAATAATAGTTATGCTTGTTGAGTAAAATTAGCATTGTGTGGAGAATTACATTTTTTTTTGGGGGGGGGTTTCAGGCATTTTGTTTAGATTTTTAATTAGTATATTAGATTTATTTAATGTTTAAGCATATTATGGTACTGTGAAATGAATGTGTAGGCGTCTTAGCTTTTTTTTTTCAACAATTTCAATGTATATGTTCGTATTGTGATACACACTAACATGGCTAATGTATTATAATGAAAACAATACTAACCAAATAACATTTATGTAGAGGTAGTGAAATATCAATTATCTTTGCATTTGATGAAAGTCATTCTTCTCTTAGATGTTCATGAAAAACTTACATTTTAAGACTAATGTCAAAGTTCTGGTATCCGTTAACTATATCGATAAAGTATGCCTCTGAAAACTACTTTGGGATTATAACTGAAATTGTTGAGTATTACAGCCAAAGAAGGCACCTCTGATTGATTCATATCGCTCCTTAAAACGAAAAAGGACTGGTTTCTAAACCTTGATAAATTCATTACGGAATGGAGCTTGATATATAGAGACTAATCACTATATTCCGCTAGTCAATCATTACAGTTTTTTCTTACACTTAGGAACATTCAGTTAAACAATCCGTAAACCTATCTAAATATATTTTCCCCATAGTTATTAGGGTTTATAGGTTTTAAGTAACAACCTGTGAATTATTAGCGGAATAACGTTATTTGCGAATAAAGATGTTGTACTTCAAAATGTTATTCACATTATAAGATGTCGTATATAATCCTTTAGTTATAAAGCAACACATCACCCTTTTTATTATGAAATTCCCAGGATTTATATGGTCCTTATACACTGAATCTGAACAGATGTCCTGCTTACTTTAGTCTAGTACCTTTAATATAAGCGAAAGAATCATGTTTTGCTCGTCCATCACTCCATGGAATGAGCGAACTGTATTTGAAAGCAAACTTTTATGAGCGTTTAAATTTATAATAATCTTGTAAACTTTAATAGATTGATCACAAATTATTTGATTTTAACGACACATAACTGATAAAATGTCACATATCTTTTAATAATAAAAATGTTTCCGTCTCTGAATAGTCATTTATAATGAATAATTTTTGAGATATACTGAGAGGATTTTAAATATTCGTAATTAGCTACAAAAAAATTAAGAACTTATACAGAGAGTAAATGGTGATTAAAATGCTAATATCGTCGATTCGTTACTGAATAGTTTGTTGGGTTCAGGTTTAACATTTCGTGGCCGGTGTATAAGAAGACAGGTATCAACCTTAATTTGAGACGTCTCACGATAGTCTTTAAAGTAAGAGGATAAGTGATAAAATTTTACATTCGCACGATATAAGTATAGGGTTGTTTGTCAATCTGCTCGTTTTAGTACTTACCGTGTCCTAGCTAATGCAAACAGCCAAGCAGTACCCATATATAAAGATCTTTTGAAGTAAATTTTGGTGTTTCATTTCGTTAAACATAGTTTATATTAGGAATCAGAATAAATATTTCTGTTAATACACATATACCATTTGGTAATTCGCAAATACAATTGACATTCCATTTGATCAAATGTAATTGCTAGAGAATTCGACATGTTGCAACAATGGTACTGAAGTTGGAAAATTATCGAGTCATTCTGATGATAAATATAGACAAGCCAAACC